TTGTAGAGTTGCTGATCAGATTCTGAAACTCGTTCCAAATTTTGAGGTAAACTCACAGAATGCCAGTCATTATATTAACATATAAATGAACCATGGTTACCTTCTCTTATCTTATGTGGAATTGTAGCACTTCCGGACAACTTTAAGATGCCTGAAGTACTGGGCTAAGAAGCGTGGCGTGTATTCAAATGTAAGATCATAGCTTTATGTAATTCGTATTTATTGAAAGTTTTCATGTCTAAGCTCTTGTCATATTTCTCATATTGGCAGGTGACTGGATTTCTTGGCGGTGTAAACTGGGCACTTTTGGTTGCTCGTGTCTGCCAGCTCTATCCAAATGCAATTCCTAGTATGCTGGTTTCTCGTTTTTTCAGAGTATATACTCAATGGCGGTGGCCGAACCCAGTCATGCTTTGTGCAATAGAAGAGGATGAGCTTGGATTTCCTGTCTGGGACCCTCGTAAAAATCATCGTGACCGCTATCACCTTATGCCAATAATAACTCCAGCTTACCCATGCATGAATTCTAGTTACAATGTCTCTCAAAGCACTCTTCGCGTTATGACAGAGCAGTTCCAGTTCGGTAACAATATCTTGCAGGTAAGTGTGCAAAACTTTTGTCTTGTTATCTCAACCATTTATTCAGGATCCTATACTTAAGCATGATTTTTAATGCAGGAGATTGAATTAAATAAACAGCACTGGAGCTCTTTATTTGAACAATATATGTTTTTCGAGGCATATAAAAACTACCTTCAGGTTGATATAGTGGCAGGAGATGCAGAAGATTTATTGGCTTGGAAGGGTTGGGTGGAGTCGCGGTTCAGACAGCTGACCTTAAAGGTTGATAGCCTCCTCTGTTCATTTGATTTCACAGCAATAAACCTGCTGTATCTTCAGTAATGTAGATTATTAAATGGTTCTCGATTTTGTTTCTTTTCATTCAATAATGCAGATAGAAAGAGACACTAATGGGATGTTAATGTGCCATCCCCAACCAAATGAGTATGTAGACACAGCTAGGCAGTTTCTGCATTGTGCCTTTTTCATGGGCTTGCAGAGGGCAGAGGGAGTTGGTGGTCAAGAATGTCAACAATTTGATATACGTGGTACGGTCGATGAGTTCAGACAAGAAGTAAACATGTATATGTTCTGGAAACCTGGGATGGATGTGTTCGTTTCTCATGTTCGCAGACGACAGCTTCCACCTTTTGTTTTCCCAAATGGATATCGAAGGCCTCGGCAGTCCAGGCACCAAAATCAACCGAGTGGAAAAACTGGTGAAGATGGCACTGTTTCTCATTCCGGCTCTGTGGTGGAGAGGCATGCCAAGAGAAAGAACGATAGTGAAATGATGGATGCGAGGCCAGAGAAACCTGAGAAGCGTGCATCTCTTAGTCCACAGAGTCTAGATATAGTTTCTCCTGAAAGTAGTGCTATCACTACTGGTTGGACTCCTCCTGTTTGCCACCTTAGAAGGCCACCAAGCGAGGAAATAGAAGCTGAAAATTTGAACACCGAGTGTACTGAACTCACAAACTTTGCTCGAAATGAGTGTAACTCTGGCAGCGAGCAAGTTCTTGAAGTAGATAGTATGGCTCTAGTTCAAGAATGCTCTGATCCAGCTGAGCCTTTGGGAAAGTGTGTAACACCTGACCCTAGTGATGTGGTAGCATGTGTAAGTGGGCAGGAAGAAAACTTAGATCGTAATTTGAGGTCTGTATCCATCAGTGGTACTGACTCTCAACTTCTTCCGAGGCTACTTGATACGAAAGGTGTGGTCGACGAAGTTGAGAAAGATTCAAAGACATTTTATGGGACGAGGACAACTGGAAAAATTGCTGACAGTGTTCAGCCGAGCAGATCTTGTGGGCAGAACCGTGATTATGAGGTTAGTTTTTTTTCTTTCTGTATATGTTTCTGGTGTGTTATCAGAAAATTGGCAATAATTGCTTGAACATACCGGGCATAGTGATGATGGGTTTTTTACAGGGTTTCGGGTTTCCTGCTGCAAATTCAGATCCTTTGGGAAAGGAAAACTTGTACTCTCAAAGTGGCATGTCGGAAGACCTTCAGGTTATTAAGCTACCTTACAGTAGTTCGCATAAGTTTAGTTCTGTTGAAAAATTAGTTTTCTAGCTGCTTTAGAAATCAACGTCCAATGATATGCGAGAATCAATTCTCCACTACATGGAATCTCATACTGGTTTCATAGTGTCAAGAAACATAGGATGGAGCTAAGTTTGAAATTTGATGGTTGTCCATAAACAGTATTACTTAAGAGGTCAATATTTTTGCTGCGTTATAACTTGACTTGTGTGATTTCTGCTGCATCCCCCCTAACTAGTGCATATATATGGTTGGCAGGTCCTGCACTGCAAAGCAACTCCGCTTGAAACTTATTGAATTAGACTTTTCTCTCTTTGATTAAGTTTTTTGTAAGGAATAAAACTAACTTATGCTGTTGCTCGTAATCTTGTTTTGTCTTAGTCAAACTCTTTGGTCAGCGGGATGGACAAGTCGGAAGACAGAGCTAGGTCAGAATCTTTGCAGAAGTCACAGATAAGGCATGTGTGTTATGCAGAGTCATGATTTCTTTATGTTATTGTTGTTGTGTTTTTGGTTTCATTGGTGCTTTTATAGCACAAGCAGGTTAAGCTTAAAGTCCACTGTGTGAACGTCCTCTAGGCTATTGACGTGATAACCAGACTCATCAAGAAAACGAGGATATCAGCTCAAATTGTTGCGGTGGACAGACGACAGAGTCCAGAAGCTTTTGGTAAGTGAACTTTTAATATGGAAAAAAAAAAGAAAAAAAAAGTTAAAAAATGACATTTGAAAAATCCAAAAAAAAAAAAAAGATAAAGTAAAAAAAAAAAAGGAAACCAAAGGAGAAGAGAAGGTATAGGCAGAGCATTCGATGGATTTGTTTTGGTGGTGGTTTTTTGAGTGAGCTTGGACGACCAAAGCTCAATATGCGTAATGAGGTGGGACAATGGTCATTGACTTGAAGATGGAAATGATTTATATATTGTCGGGATGATGAATGCTTTTTTTTTTTTTTTTAATTCGGCTGCTTCAGACTCTGGTCCTCTTAGGGCTTTGACTTGAATCGTTGTGATTTTTATTTTATTTTGCGGTTTATGTATATAAGCTCTATGCCTTTGTCTCTCTTTTTTGGAGTTATGCTGTCTAAACTAAGTGAGAGTAGTTGCAATGAAAGGCTTTAAAAGACATATTCTTCAGGAGACTGTTTCTTTTCTTTTAGAATGTGATGGAAAATCGAGGAATGGAATAATAATTGGTGGTTGAACCATGAAAAGAAAGCTTCTCAAATTTAAATGTGTCGGATCTGCTAGTTCCACATACAAGTCGATGGAATTTGAAAGCTTCACATAAAATGTATAGAGGACCATGAATAAGTTACAAGAGTCAAGAGCTCTATATTGGAAAACATGGTTCGAATTCCTCCAGAGACCAAACACTTTTTGTGGAGATATGTCTTGTTTTGTGGACTTATCTAAAATACAACATGCTAAAGATTTTAAGAGTACAAAATGAAACAGAAACTCAATCAATGTTTTCAATATATATTGACTGACTCGAAAATATGGGATTTAACTTGCACATTCGGGGCCAACAGATAAGAAATTTCTCGGTAGTTCGGTAGTGACCGATAGCACTACAAATATCTACCTTTTCCAGCATGGAAACCTTTTCAACCATCCAGAAAAAAACAACTTTAAATTTGATAGCCTAGTGGTTTGTATGTATGAAGTAGTGATATTTGATAGCTTAATGGTTTGTATTAATATCGTCATTGTGTCACCACCGGCGTTGAAACTTGTATAATGCACGTCAACAAAAGAAAAAATAGAATCTTAGGAAAGCGTCATTCTGTGCAAAACAAGATTTAATTGGACATGATATATATATACAGAACCAGTACCCAACTAAATGAAAATATTAGTTTCATTGGATATTCTTAATATATACTACTGCGAATCCTCTTTACACAAACGTAAGGTAATTAGCTAAGAAACAAAAACTCATTCTTAAATAATCGCATTAGCGTCTTTATTTTGTTTGGTCTAGATTATTTTTCTCTTTCTGTCTTCTCTTTTATATACAAGGGATACTGTGATAAGACAAAATCTACACTTCTAAGTTCCAACCCTCTAGATTTTTAGTGGGATTTGGTGGAGAAATGCTATACTTCGTCGTATTTGCCTACAAATTTGGAGAAAACTTTTACGGAAACTTTTGACTTGTTCGACTACCAATCTAGTTACAATTGGTCTTAGCAGATATAATAATCCATCTTTGCTGTATTTTCAATGCAATCGAAGTATAATTTATATGACAAGTAGTTTATAACGTAACGATGGATATATGTTTCAAACATCGTTAGGTAATAATATATAGGCTTTCAAATTTTGTCGTTTTATGTCGATGCATAAACAGCCGGAGCATATTAAACGACAAACAAAATATGATAATATTGATATAATTAGTATATATAACAACTCAAATGCATACGGATATTTTCCCCAAGGCTGCACCAATTAAGAATAATTAATTATTTATAGATGCACAATATGAATACAACAAGCGTACGTATATATACGTCAGATTGCCAATGGAGGGTCAGTCAATTAGATCATATGTTTCGAGCCACCAATTCTAACGTCGATAGTCATTCTTTTAACGTTAATAGTCATTAGCTGGTCCTTTTAATTTTTGCACACTTTCTTACATTTTTCATGCTTAACATAAATATATAAAACTATATATACGCCCTTATATTCACACAAAAAAGGCTACTTCGAAGATCGAATTTCCTACAATTTCATCCAAGCAGATCCGAAATACGATCATGGATTACACAAAACAAAACAAAAACAAAAAAAAAAGAGAAAATAAAAACAGAAAACTAGGGAAATATATACTACTACAAAGGAGAAATTAGAAAGTCAAAACAAGACTACGAAAGTTACTACCTAGAATGTTTTTATTTATTTTTTCGATAAGATTTTTTGTAAAGTGAATTAATGTTTTAAACCTCCTGAGCCATCATCCACTTCTGCAACCTCAGCTGTCTATAGAACCTCTGTATAAACTCCTCCGCAGCTCTGTCCACGTGGCAGCTTTCCATCGTACCGGTGCTGCTAGCTACGTCGGGAAACACTGCCGCCGACACGTGTCGGTCCCAGATGGAGTCACGAACCTTGGGAAGTGTGTTGTACCGGATATACGCTTGGCGTTGGCGCTTGTTGATGAGCGGTTTGTTGTGAGACCCGTTACTACGTCGCCCTTTGCTTACGGTGGTGGCGTAGGAACGTCTCGGTGGGGTGCTGCTGCAGCTGAACTCGTACTCTAGCTGGAGCGGGACAGGGGAGATGAAGGATGATCGGACATCTTGGTGGTCGGAAGGACGGCACGTGATGCGTGAGTGGGAGGTTGAAACGGCTTCGTTTAAGGATTTGCGTAGGATCTTGCCACGTTTAGCGAGTAGATGTGGATCGAGGGTTGTGAGGAGTTTGTGACGTGAGGCGTCTGAAACCTTCTGGATGGTGAAGAGGATTAGCTTGGCCAGGCTTGAGAGCTTCTTCGTTGTGACTGTTGAACAAACCTCCATGTCGTCGTGTATTTGCATATGTGTATCTATTTGTGTGTGAGAGAGAGAGAGGGTTTGGCTTAGGGTTGGAGAGAGATGGGATTTAAAGAAAATAAAGTGGGATTAATGAAGAAACTGATGATAGTCTTTATATAACGGAAACATTATTTTTATTCCGCTATAGGAGTAATGGCAATTTAATTAATTTATCATAAACTTATATCAAAGTAGGAGAAAAGAAGTCGATGGGTCCAATAGTTTTTATCTCAACCGTTAAAAACAACATTCTCTGGAATTTATTTTTTGAGTCTCCTACCATCGTATATTAATTGTTGTGAAAACTAAAAAACCAAGTCAATGATAAATTCATGATATTATTGTACTTCCAAAGTCCAAACTATCTAGCTAGGGATAAAAGTCCATGTTTTGTTTATAGGTTTTGGTTATGATATTCTTAAGTAACTACAGTTTGATAGCATTGATTTTAAAAAAACTTAAAAGAAAAAATAAAAAACGAAAATACAAACTATAACTCAAAAATTTTGAATTCCACTCATGCTTACAATTGAGATCAACAATTTCACACATCCAAATTGTAAGACATATATAATTGATTTTAAATTTTATTACTGTAATAATTCCTCTTAAAATATACTTATTAAACTCATAAACTCTAATTTCTATAGTATATAGTATAAATGTAAAATTAACCCCTCGTAAATCACGTGTTGGACCATTGGAGGAGCAGATATCTGGTAAATACAGATACTGAAGATTGATCAAACCTTTTTATTTTAAAAAAAAAAGATTGATCTAACAATCAACAAAAGCGACTCGATTACTTGGAAAACAAATTTACATTTAAATCTAAACAATATTTAAATAGTGTAATGATAACAGCTGCATTATACATGTTTTATTTGAACCGTGTCTGTCTTTATGGATTTTAATATTTGGTTACCTTTTCTTTTTCTATGTCTTTACTTTAATTAAATTTCTTTGTCAGGTAGAAAAATAAAGAAAGGAGAGATATATTAAACTAACTTTCTCTTTTGGTTATGTAATTGTATTACTCTCTCTAAGTTGTTCGCATATGCAAAAAGTGTAATACGGGTAGGGATCCATAATCCATTGGTCATATATTGTTCTATTTTAATCAGAAAAGTTGATTTTGATTGCTTTATCGAAAGAGTTAAAATCTTATCGAGAAATCATTTAATTAATATTCTTTGTGGAAGAGAAAATCAAGAAAATCATGAACTGTTTTCTTCCAAACTTTGGATGTCTCGGCCTCCCAAGTTTCGTATAGATACTTCGACGGTCGACACTGACTTATATTAATATAAAATTCTGGGATATACCTATTTTCATTCGGAAATTCTGAAAATTTTAATTAATGAAGAATATAAGTGACTTTTACAAATATATAAATAAGAACGATTCATCGTGGGTTGTGGAAAACCAAATTATTCATTTTATTGATGCATAAAAATGATATTCAAATTCTTAGTATCGTGCTGTAATTTCAAAATACAGTAAAAATAGTTTCGAAATTTAAAAGCAATAACCATAACAATTTAAATTTAATTTAAAGGTTTTTTGGGTTCATTTTCCAAAAACAAATGTGTAGAAATTTAACAGATGAAAATAGTGCCATCTTGTTACCTGACTAGATTTGTTAACTAAGTTGACTTTTTGTTTCTTACTAACAAAACCTCATCACGTAAAGTTGAAAATGTAACTTTTTGCTTCTTTTCACTTTCCCATGAAATTACTTGTTCGGACTACAGTATCGTGTTAATTTATCATCATTTTTGATATAATGACGAGATAATCATTACACCTAGAAGAAGTGTCAATGAGCTGGAGATATAAAATTTCGCATTATCCGACCTAAAATTAGGCCTAGATATTGTAAATATTAAGGCATTGTTGAGCAATGAGTGCTTAATAATTTGCACAAAATTTTGTCATGATTAGTTATTACAATTTCTCCTTTTTTCTAAATAAAATAATGAAATTTAAGGTTTTGGGAATTGATGGGTTTGAGGACTGTGATGGATATGTTCAAGGAAAGAAAATGGGTCCCTACGGTAATTGAAATAACCAAAGTAAGGCAAAGCTTTTTACATTTTCCAATTTGACACCTTCTTAAGCAAGGCTTAACTATGAATATCTTATTTGATACTAATAGATGAATGATATTTGCAACTTGCTTATTAGAAGAGGATACAATACGTATGAGTTAAGTTTGGATAAGAGAGTATGTATATATCATTTGTTGATCCATCTTGGCTGATCTTAAAATTAAAATCGTTATTCTCTAACATGATTGAGTTCAAACATCATTTCTTCCGTACACCCTCAAAATATTCGTGCTAATTGGACGAATTGATATCAGAATAACTAGATGATGTAAATTGCGCTCACCCTTCTGGAAGCCATAAAGCATCAAGATTATTTAGGAATTAAGCTCAAAGATATTCAATCTTGTTTTGAAGAGTTTGGTATAGGGGCCTAGATATTTCAATGGCAATAATATCTTTATTTATTCTACTTTCACCAATATATTTGGATTAAATAAGGGAGTGTTTGGTGGTGTTTGATTAAAGGTCATATAAATATCTCATAACTGGAGAGTACAATTCAAAGTGAAAACCTAATACGTAACTTTGAATGTTTGTCAGAATATCTAATTAGCAGTGTATTGAATTCATTTTCTTAAGCAAGCCTGTAAATTAGGGGATTCGATATCTAAGGACCATGTTTGGTTCTAGTATTATTTTATAATGTCGCAGCCACTTTTTGGTGGGTTCCATTTCTATCAGTTTATTTATTTCCGTGAAACTCATTGTCCTCTCATCATCGGTCGATTTGTTACTGGAAAAGTACAAAACAGTTTTCGAATTACTCTGCAAATTATCAAAACAAACATTCCGTTTTTTCTTCATACTTTCATGTATCTTAGAATCACTTTGGAATTAGCATCCTATGTTAACGTTTCTCAATAAAATAAAAATCTCCTGAAAACTTTTTATGATTTGTTTGACAAAATAAAAAGATTGGTAAACCTAATTATGGCACAGATGAAAGTTAACTTTGAAAGTAGTAACATATACAATATTAAATATACTAAGATTAAACTCGCAGTTTGACAAAGGAAAACTCATATTCACAAGATCAAATTGATTAGGGTTGATCTTTACTACAAGAAAACATGCTTTTTGGGACTCCCAAAAGAGTCCTAAAACGGTCGCAAATTGCTATTTGCAACTACTTTGAGACTATTAAAATTGGTCGTTAAAAAACGGTCGCTAAATAAAATGGTCACAAAAACGTCGCATATTTGTGACGTCTTTAAGACTAATTTATGTGGTCGTATATAAGCGATTGTTTAGTGACAAATATTAATAGTCATATATTAGACTAAATTGTGACCGTAACTAAAGTCGTATATTAGCAACCTTTTAGTGACAAACTACAAAAAAAAAAAAAAAAAAAACAAAATAATTTTATTATACCAATTAAACAAAATGAAATAAATATTAATTTTATTTATTTTTAAAATTCATTACAAACGGGAAAAATACAATATCATATATCTATCTATAGTTTTATACAAAATTGACGGTGGGTTGAGCGACGGTAGGTGTCGGAAAACAAAACCATGGCGGCGGCCGGAGATCTGAGATGCGACTGTGGAGGGTTCGAGTTCACATGTGTTGGGGGTGAACTGGCGGAGGCCTCTAGATGTGGTGGTGGTGGTGAACGTCGTCTTCAACAGTGGTCCTAAACTACCACCACGACCTCCGACGTCGCCGTTGACTCTAGTTTTTCAGATACTTCAGATCTACCAATGAAACCTAAATTACATATAACAAATTCTTCAGATCTACCATAGAAATAATTAAAACACATAACAAATTCTCGATTTCCCAGATCTATCTCCATATTAGAATAAAGAGAGAACTGACCTTATAGGAATCATTAGTTAATTGAATAAAGATTTAATCTTCTGAGTTTCATGATTTCACATGAACTTGATGAAGATGAGAATACGGCGAGATAGAGAGGAGAGGAGAAAAAGTAAGAAGGAAAAAAAAAATTTATTATAGAAAAGGAAAGAAACAAGGATGAGAGAGTAGGGAAATATTGAGATGATTTTGTCCGTTGGATGAACTCTATCGACGGTGTATGGTTGTCCAAAAGGCAATCCTTGTCATTTAAGATCAGCCAATGAGAAATGAGAAGTGTAACTCTTGTCGTTTTGTCAAAGTAGTCATGAATTGTTACTCTTTTGTGACTAATGTTTATGAGTCACAACTATATTCATATGAATTTAAGGCTTAATAACCAAGCAAAATCTATTTATAGTGACTTAAATTACAATACTAAACAAGGTAGCAAAATCGTCTCAATCTCAGGTGTCAGTCACAAATAAGTCGCATATATGTGGGTATTCAGTGACTTATTTGTAACTTTTCCTTCAGATAGTCGCAAAATGCTACTATTTTGTGACGGATATTTATGAGTCACAACCGTATTCATATGAATTTTAAAGTTTAAGACCCAAAAAAGTTATATCTATAATGTTACAATCAATAAAGTTATAATACTAAACAAGATCAATCAGTTTAATAAGTAAAAACATGAAATGCAAAGAAAATTAAGAAATTTCAAAAACCATTAGTTAACATCATATATAACATTTATGTAAGTTAGAAAATTTGTTTAAAACATTAAAAAAATTCAAATGTTTTTGGTATTATCATGATTCAATATCTGTAGTAGTTTAAATCATTTTTAGAAACCTTAAAACTTAACATATTCATAATTTTCCATTGGCAACTATTTAAATAAAATCGCAAGAGTTGCAACTTCGTCGCAAAATAGTCACAAATTGTGACTGTTTTGTGACTATTTTATGAAACAAACCATATGAATTTTAAAGTATAAAAGTAAAAAAAAAATTGTACATATGATTTTACAATCACTCAAGGTTAGAATTCTAAACGAGATGTCTCAGTTTAATGAGTAAAAAACTTGATATGGCTAAAACACTTAAAGTCACAAATAAGTTGCAAATTTGGTACTACGTTGTGACTAAAGATTCCGACTAAAAAGAA